TTAGTGCAGTGCAAAATTGTATGGTAGTACCAAATATACACGTGTGGTGCTAACTCTAAATATACACATGTAGTGCTAGTTCCAAAAAACTCTATTTTTACCCACACACAGACATGTATTTTGCTTGTATGTACCCTAGAGTGTACTAACCCAGGATGTAGAGTAGGGAAGAAGTGTACGTCAGCAGGTGGTACCTAAGTCATGTTGTCTAGCGTTGCTCTAACTACATGTACATCATAATACGATAAATTTAAAGCTCCATAAAGTGTATATCTCAGAGTATTCTTCTTGCTCTTTTTTTTTACGTTCAAATTTAGGCATGAAGGATCTTGTACCGATTGGCGAGCTACCGGTATAAAGGCTGCGCCCAGCGACGTGCTCATCGGTTCACAGGCAAATATCCAATGCCCTTGTTTCTTGATCTTGTTGACGTCTTTGCACCATCCTACATATACATCACCTTGGCGATCTAGGATGTCAATTGAATTCCTTCATCCCCGAGTGGCGTATGCCATGTTCTTGTCATAATTTGAACTTCTCTACTACGAGGTATGTACCTACTTAGTGTTGTGGAAACTTTACCGACTTGATTTTAAAACTCACACCTATAGGTGTCCCAGAAAATGATTACACCATACACCAGCAGTGTACTTCATATATATACGAGGTCGACACTGGCCTCTAAACATTTAGATATACTTACTTACCCCGAAACACCGTCAATGTTATGGCCAAATCTTGGGATAGCCCGAGGCAGGGAGAACCGTCATCACCTGTGACCTTGTCTACTGGAACCTCCACTTTGTGCTGCTTCAATACGTGGAGCTTTGATTTAGGCATACATACCACACCATCATCAGTCTCTCATAGGCTTTTAAAATATGCCTCAGATACGGCTACGTCCTCGTAGCCGTAACACTTATCTTGGCGAATTACTTTCTACGTACATACACAGGCCTGGGTACAAGCGCTTGTGCCAAAAAATTTCTGGACCTGCGACGATAAATATCAATAGTACGTAAACGATCGGACAGAGTCAACTCATCTGCACAATCATCTCAGCGAGTGACTAGGCATGATTATCCAAAGACCTGGAGTTATGTGTGTCAAGTACATGGGTCTGGAAGCCTTCTGTTTACATCTCGATTTCTCCCCAGAATTTGTTATTTACGATTCAGCTGACGTACTATCTCAAGATTAAGGCTTTGGACCTTTACGATAAAGGATAATTTAAGCAGTCAGGGCTCTGATTTAGCTTCCTGGGCTGTTGGAAATACATGGGTCCTTGCTGATCTGACACCTGACCAGCCAGTGTGAATATACAGCGTGTGATAGCGCTTCGTAGAGTATGTGCCCCAGAATAAAACCTCTGCATGAGTCTGGATAATGAACTTCTCTCTGGCAATTTTAACCTAATAAACATGACCGTTTCGTGCACGATGGTGTTTAATCTCGTGGACGTGTGTATGAGTGTGTACTGATCTTCATTTATTAGGTCATTAAACGTCTAGGGCATCATAGGAACTTAAAGAAGGCGACCTATATTTCCTTCGGTCCTCCTATCGAGTGATTAACTATGAATGCAGCCTTGTTTCATATGTTGTTGGATGTTGATACTAACGCCATCACGTGTGTTTGTTTGTTCAACACTCAGGCAAACTTGCATAGAATACATACACCCATTTCCTGTGGGCTGCTTGACACAGGCACCAAAGAATAGAAAGTGATAGATGGATGGTTCGCAATCTCCAGCAAAACGACTTTTCGCCTCGCGGATTGACACCTTCGACTTCCACGGGTGTGTAAACATCACCTGTATCTTCATGCGCATTCTCATTGATGCCAACTTTGTTGCCTACCAGACTGCGCACATAGACAATTAGATTTTCCTTTATCTTTGTCTCTTCGATGCTTCCGATAACAGAAATACAACCTATAGTGTTCTCTGTAGACCGATCGACTCTGCCACCTCGATGCTTTGCTTCGCATCCCCGGTCATGGTACCCTATCTGTATCAACTTCGTCGTACAGACCCTTTATGGCATGCTCATTCGTGGGGAAGTCTATTCTGACTCATGAATCCAAAGTGTCGCCTTGAAAGCTCATGATTGGAGACCTCCCCCGAAACCAGCCTTGTTTTGCTCCTGCACGTGCCTGCTTAGCGGGTACGTCATGCAGTCAAACGTATCAAAGCATAAGGATCGATTATATGCATCTCTTAGTAGCAGCCCTTACGGCACTTTCTTGCTCTGATACGAGTATCTGGTCATTGGCAGCTGATCGTGAGCGGCACCTTGACACATGGCCAATCGAAAGGAAGGTCTTAGCGTGCTGATTATCATTGGCTGTATATCATTCCAGCATAGTTTCCGACATCTCGGATCCTTGAGGTGTGCTTTTATGACGATAATGACAGGGTGTGTGAAGAAATTGGGCTTGCAGGATACATATTATTATACATGCTTGATCCATATCACATGTGTGGTATTCCAGGGCTGAGCATTTACTCTAAAAGCTTCTGTGGGCATCGTTAATCAGGATACTTTACACGAGAATGCCTATAATTAGGTGTGACCCTGGCCCTATGGAAAATTGGTACGGAGTAACAGCTCGAATCATTATGTTAACGGGCAGGTTAAGGGTAATATTGTATTAGTTGGTGACAGGCACTCATTCGAACCTTCGGAAGCAGGAAGTCTTGGTAGCCAGAATAAAGAATTACCCCGAACTCCAGATCTACACTTACGGGTGTATTTTCCCAAATATACGGACCTCCGACGGAGCCAACCCCACCAATTGAGACCTGGAGACTGCGGGGATGGGGCATATACCGTTGTTATCGATAGTGATCTACTACCTAGCAAGTCGGGAGTTCTAAGTTATAAGTAATCGAGAATCGCTGCAAGTGTGGCCAGGATACCCGAGTGCGAATCCATGAAGCTATACTTTTGCAGTTACGCATGAATACCAAACTATCGCAACCCCTCCCCAGGAAATCCCTACGAGCGTATAGAATCTTCAACCGCCGATAGCGACCTGAGTACTCAGCTGTAAAAAATTGCTTTTCTTATGATAATATGTAGGTACATACATGTAGTAGAGACAGCAAGCAGTACAGTGCTCCGGGGTGCCAAGAAAAAAACAACCTTTCAAGACCTAGGCAATTCCTTGATAAGGCCAGATGAAGATTCGTTGGGAAGAGAACTAAAGGACAGATCGTCTTGGGAATGCTTTTCAATTATTTTTGGAGACCTCCTTAGGGTCAGGGTTATAATTGGCCATGCCGCGGTTAAGCGTATGTAGGTACATACTGTCGCAACTCGATATGCCGGGTTGCCAATATTCTAAGGATTTCGTACGGAATAGCAAAAAATCCGGGATAGCAAATTGATTTTGCAGTGGGAAAAATAATATTCTTGGAGGATCTCGTACGGGACAGCAAGGGATCCGGTGCATTGAGTTCCGGCATATCGAGTTGGGACTGTACATTGTACATGTGCATGTACCTACCCCTTTACGTCATGTATGAAAGGGCAACCTGAAAGTAAAAAAAAACATTATTCCCAACAGAACTATATACCGCTCCATTCCCGAATACCGAGTTCCGAGCACAAAAGCAAAATATATCTTTGTCCACATGCTTGCACGCCAATCTAGACATCTTACCTACAATTGCTTTTATTCCTTTAAACTATCACCAGCAATTCGTTCAGTCGCCTTCAAGATGCCTGACACCACAAAAGCAGATCCAAGTCCTGTTTTAACACTCCCCAGTGGACGAAGTCATCCTCTTTTCCTGTATGGAACTGCTTGGAAGGCAGACAAAACAACCCCTCTTGTTCAAGCAGCTCTCTCTCATGGATTCACTGGCATTGACACTGCTTGCCAGCCGAAACATTATCAGGAGCATCTGGTGGGCCAGGGCCTTTTCAATTATCTCCAGGAAAACTCCATAGTGGATCGTTCTAGCCTTTATATACAGACCAAATACACCCCTCCCAATGGGCAGGACCCAAGCAACACCCCCTACGACGCGACAGCTCCACTCAGCGCACAGGTCAAGCAATCAGTTGAGACTTCCTTGAAAAATCTCAACGTGGATTATATAGATTCGGTCCTACTACACTCACCATTGCAGACTTTGGAAGACACAATTAAGGCCTGGAAAAGCCTTGAACAGTTTGTCCCGCACAAAGTTCGTCATCTTGGGATCTCAAATTGCGGTTTTCCCATTCTCTCAGCACTCTACAGCAGCCCAGCCATAAATGTTAGGCCATCAATTGTACAGAACCGATTCCACGAAGCGACGGGATACGATACTCAGGTTTTGGCCTTTTGTAAGGAGCATGGGCTGGTCTATCAGAGCTTCTGGACCTTGACGGCGAACCCAGGACTGCTGAGGTCTAAATTGGTTAATGGGTTCGCTGAAGTGAGAGGTTGGACAAAAGAGCAGGCGTTGTATGCACTTGTTTTGTCTCTTGGGAGGGAATGGGAGAATGGTGGAGGAGTATCAATAATGAACGGAACCACCAATGAGGAAACAATGAAGAGCGATCTGAAAGTTTTGGAGGGAATGGGTGGTGTTCCAGATGGCATCGTGGAAGAATTTGTCAAGTTGTTGAGGGCACAATAGTTGCTTTTCTTGAGAATATCCATATTGCTTTCCTACTGTTGTATTGTGCCGTCCATAGGCATGGGAGATAGCAATTACAACGGGTGAAACTGTGTTCAAAAAAAAAAAACACGACTGCCTGAAGATGATATACATCTTGTCTCGCCTTCACGGATAGATAGCTTTCCTATATGTGGCATTAGTTTCTGTGGTGGAGACGGATAATGTTATGAAATAATTCCAAAAGAATTTATCAACTGTTTGATTCTCTGACAATGCAGTCGGCCGGCCGGGCTATTAACGAAGTTTATTCTGGTAATTGCTACATGAGGACCGGGCACGTTGGCAGTCAGTTTAAGGACCTCTTAGGCTACCACAAGAACTATTCATGGTGCTTTTAAAATTGTCAGTTTCTGTTTGATTGTTGGCCTGTTCAATTGCTAGGGGCGTTGGACAACAATTTAACTGACAATCAGTAAACACCAAAACGCCCGATTTTACAGACTTTCAAATACAGAAAACACAAGTGGTACGGGATCGATAAATGTACGGAACGACGAAAGTAGCGCTTGATTGAGTCAAAATTACATGCATGTAGCTACATGTAGTAGGTACATGTATGTACATGTACTCTACGTAATAATCTGAGTTTAGTTGGGTAGATGTATGTACTCTACTTTTTCCGGCCCTGCATGCATAACCGAGAGTGGGGAGCCGGCCGTATGCAAGACGGGAACGGTTTCAGAGGACAGAAGCCCCAAAACCTAAGAACTTGCAGCGGGGGCTGAGAAATACATCCTGCGGGCTAATAGCAAAGAGGTTGACTCCAAGAGAGTAGTAGTCTCTCTAGGAGCTTCTTTTAGATGACCTTTGAAAAGTTACATACTCCATCCGCATGCTTAAGGGGTACCTGGGGCCCGCGACGACATCTCCAATTGCGTTCTTCCATCCGAGTACGCCAACACACGCCTAGCCATTATAGTTGCTGGAAATATCAGCGAGCATTCCATGCCATCGAGTCTCAATTATCCCACAAAACACGGGTGTACAACAACAACCAGCACTCGACGCTTCCAATTCAAACCTATTCTGGAAAGTCTGCCGGAAGTGAGATGTACCGTGCCGTTTCGGCCGGCCGCCTAACGGGGATCTTCTGTGACATGTAAACCATGCCTGGGTCACCCTAGTGAAGGTCATCTAGCTGACGTGGAGAAATAAACTTTAGAGAGGACTCTAAGAGATATGTCAAAGGTTATCCTGATGCCAGTCACAGGATCTTTGAGTGCAAAGAAGAAGCATTCAGATGGATGGAATACATGAAAAGAAGCAAAATCGACAAGGAGAATGCAAGATTGAGAGAACGTTTCGGGGAGGATTGTACGGAGCAAGAAGAATGGGAGAAGAATGGCATTGAGTCGTATGAAGCCTACAGAGATGCCGAAAATCCAGGGAATATCGAGGATTCCGTCGAGTTACCTCTAGACAAACTGTCTGAGGACCAAAAATACATACTCGATCTCGTTTTGGAAGGCCATCATGTTTTCTATACGGGTCCAGCTGGATCAGGAAAATCTCTGCTCCTGAAGCATATAAAATATCATCTCTGGAAAGAAAAAAAACGATATGACATCACTGCACCCACTGGTGCCGCAGCTGTTCTCATAAATGGACGAACAATACATTCATGGAGTGGTTTAGGAAAAGGCGACAAAGGTCTTAACGATTATATCATCAAAGTATGGAAGGAGATACGGATGACATCGGGGGAATCGTATGAGTCAACATCTAAACGTTCAAAGAAAAATCAAAATTTGGGAGGTAGATCAGTGGTAGGCATCTGGCGTGAAATAGATGTGTTGATTATAGATGAAGTTTCTATGGTACCTTAACTGCTCTAAACGCATGAAAGGGAGAGATATACTGATTTGACCACTAGTTGTCACCTGACTTATTCGAAAAATTGGATAAAATTGCAAGAATTTGTCGTTTCCATAACCCCATGGATCTTCTCGAAAGTATTGCTACTAATGGCTTAGACGAGACTTTAAATACGATTCCGGCCTTCGGTCTGTACTCTGATGGAATTGAGAAGAAGGCATAAAGCTCATTATCGGTGTGAAATTAGGTGGTGTACAGCTTGTTATATGTGGCGACTTTTTCCAGCTCCCACCAGTTGACGTCGAAAGTAACAAAACCTGTTATAAGTGCGGTAATATACACATACACTCTAAATATTGATAAATGCTAATAATTTGTTAGGCGAATCTGTTATTCCAATCAAAGACCGAAAATACCTCCGTGAGGATCATAAACGCACCACCAAGGAAGTATCACATCTTGAACACATTCATTCAATGAATGTAAGCCCAATCGGATGGACGATCTGTACACGAACACACCGGAGGATTCAATGTGGACACCTCTGGAATGAAACTGTGAGATACTGCTTTCAGACACAAACATGGTCGCAAATTAATTTCCGCTATGCGTTTCTGACGAAAGTGTATCGACAAAATGATCAAAAATGGATTGACATGCTTTCGAGGATTAAGACCGGGGATGTGACAGATGAGATTCTAGACCACTTAGTATCTTTAAACAGGCCTTTAAAACCGACCGAAAACGGTATTGTACCGACCAGGCTATATTCCTACCGCAGAGATGTTGAACGAGAAAACCAGGAGGAATTCAACAAATTAAAGTCAAAAGTTTGGGGATTTGCTGCGGTTGATAAAGGGTTTTCGGAAGCCCTTGATAAATCTTGGAGTTGGGAATTATCAAAACCAGAGTTGGAAGCACAGCGTAAAGGCCCTCTACCAAACTATTTTGTCTCATGGCTACTCACTCATGCTTGGAATAAGCCTTCTTCAATAACCTACCGGTGACGGAAAAGCTCAGCCTTAGACACGGCGCGCAGGTGATGCTTCTCTCAAATATCGACTTCAACTCCGGGCTTGTCAACGGTTCTCGTGGCGTTGTAACCGGCTTCGCTGCCTACACTCGAGATCGACTTCTTGAAGGGATTCAAGACGATGTGAAAAAGGAGCTTTCCGATTACTTCAAAGAGACAACTAACGATAATAAAACCGTCTTTATACCATTGGTAACTTTCCGTGCAACTAACACATGCCGCCCTATCTTCCCGGTCGTCTGGAAAGAGGCATTCTCACAATGGCTCAGCCCCACCGTGAAAACAAACACCTTATCTCTAAGCAGGAAACAGATCCCGCTTGGGCTAGCGTGGGCAACGACAATCCACAAGAGTCAGGGGAGTACGTTTGACTTTGCGTCTGTACAGGTTGCCGGTGCATTCGACCCCGGGCAGGCCTATGTTGGGTTGAGTCGGTGCAGGTCAACAAGTGATATGCAGGTTCTGGGGAATAGGTATAGCCTGCAAAGAGCGTTTATGCAGAACAAGAGCGCCTCGAAGTTCTACGATTACATGAAGGAGAAAGCAGAGAAACAGCGAGCAGAGAGGCGGCGGGCAGAAAAAGGAAAAGAAAGGGCCCACGAATAGAGTTTTTTTTTGGGGGGGGGTGTTTTTTTTTCTTCTTTATGAATAGTTTTGGACAAGTGTTGGAGTTATTTCGGTTATATATATACTGTTGAAGTTATGGATACACGAGTATGAGGTATAAACAGGCCATGATGTATTGGAGGCCAGATGGCAGGGTGGTGGTGCAAACGTTCAAATTGTTTCAGTGGGGGAAATGTCGTACATGTCATGGTATCTGATAAGACCACACAGTACTGTCACAAAGCATTCCTGGTGCAACATATATGATTGCCAGGAACCGTTACTGCCCCCACAATACCACTACCAAGGTTACGTGTAGGACATCAAAACGTACTCGTGGCCGGTCCTCCCGCGTAACCGTCGTTTCTGCCCCCGCACTCTTCACTGATATCCGTGACCCGGACCTACATAGACAAGGCATTTTGCTGTAACAATGGACCGGGTGAACGTAAGCTAAGCTCAGTATAGGTTTCAGGCTTAAACTGAATCACCAGGAATCACTCAACTCAACCACCCCTGGACCTCTCCGGATGCATAATCACAACACATCACTCGCATCACTCACTCCACTAGCACCCACATTACCAAGGCCCACTACTCTACTAGTAACACCCACAACCGCACTTTTGACGTTCCCGGACTGGACTGGACTGACCACCGAGATACGATTTACGCCCATATGCAGAGCCAGTCCAAGTCCAGTCCGGGGGCGTAGGGGGGGGGGGGGGGGGGGGGAGAGAGAGGGGAGAAAAAAAAAAAAAAAACTACGAGTACGAGAAATCCACCATCCCCCCCGTATTTGTATGTGCCAAGTCCCGGACCAAGGGCGAATTGGCGTATCAAACTTTTGACGGATTCGTGCAGATACACACACCTTGTCCCACCCGGGAGTAAGATTTAACGAAGCGGGGGGGATAGTGGAATTATCCGAGAATTGACGGTAGTGCTCGCCCGCTCGCAACAGCCAAAAAAAAAAAAATACTCATAACCGCTTCAATTCAGCACCCCCACCCCCACCCCCACCCCCACCGCCCCCCCCACTGCCTACCTACCTAGCTACTGCCTAGCTAGCTACCTACTAAAGCCACTCCCACCACCACCACCACCACCACAAAAGAAAAGCTCAAGAGAGAGAGAGAGAGAGAGAGAATCTCCAATTTATTAGCCCAGCCCAGCCACACCGCACCGCACCCACCCCAACCGCCGCCGCCGCGCCCTCCACAGAACTAAAGGAAAGAAGATCGATACACAGAACGCAGAACGCAAAACCAAACCAAACCACGAAAAGAGGAAAGAAAAAACCGCGCACCAACCTACCAAGGGCCCCCCCCCCCCCAGTTCTAGATAGAATCGAAGAAGATGGGAAAAGAACAGAAAAGGAGATGCATATAACAAGAAAAGAGAGATAGCCAGCCAGCTAGCTAATGTAGCTAGCTAGTAGTGATAGTAGTAGTAGTGGTAGTAGTAGTAGTAGTAATTGCAGTAATCATTGTCAGCTACAGAGCACAAAGGTTGCTACAAAGCAGTAGTAGTAGTAGTAGTAGTAGTAGTAGTAGTATAAACGGTTATTGCGCCCTCCCCCCTAGATCATTACTCCCCCGCATCCAGCAGCCCCCGCAAAAAGGGGGCCGAAACACAAAGGAAACAAAAAAGGAAAAAAGAAAAAAGAAAAAAAAAGAAAGCAACCTACACTACTCCAGTATCCTCGCCAGGAGCACATACAGCAGGAGCACAATCGCCCCCACAAGCACCTTATGCCTCCTCATCCAAGTCTCGCCCACCCTGACGACGGCCTCCCCCGCCGCCGCCGTCGCCGCGCTCCCACTCGCCCCCGCAGCAACAACCCTCTTCCTCACGCCCCCAGCACCCGGCGCCACACTCCCGCCCTGCTCCCCCGCCGCCGCGGCCGCGCCCTCCTGCGGCCCCGACCCCAGCGCCGGCATCGCCATCCCCGTGTGCATATTGACCCTCTCAACCTTCATCCAGTCCCAGTTCTCGGCATCGACCTGCGGCCACTCGCTCCTGAAGCGCTTCCCCATATCGCCCCAGCCCACGCCGCGGCCCGTCGGCCCCGCGCTCGGCCCCGTGTTCGGCACGACGGCGCCCGAGGCGGGGTCCAGCACGCCGGAGCCGCCGCCGGTGCTGTTCCACCACCTTGTGCGGCGGGCGAGGATGCGGCGGTCGGCGGCGGAGGTGCTGATGGAGCCTGTTGTCATCTCCTCGCTGGTCATGAAGGAGAGGAGGCCGATGAGGATTGTGGACACCTCCCAGGCGGGGTTGAACGACTTTGGGTGGAAGTCGGAGATGGAGAGGCATAGGCGGGTCGAGGTCTGGAAGCGCCCGGAGGGGGTCATCATGCGGATGGCGGGCGGCTTGAAGGGGTAGTCGGGGGGGAAGACGAGGGTGCCCCAGTATTGGCCGTGCTCGTAGGGGGTGTCTTCGGGGCCTGTGATGATGAAGTGCCATCTGTGATGCGTGGGGGGGTGTATGGTTAGATATGGGGTACGGGAGTGGGGGGGAGGGGAGTGTTTTGGGGGGGGGGGGGGGGGGTCTTACTCGAGGATATTCGCCTCGCTGGGGTGCGCCTGGATGTAGGGCGGGGGGTTCTTCTGGATCGCGAGGTATTCGCGGGCAAGCTGTGGTGAGGGAGGTTAGATGCTGGTCTCATATAGGACTCGGGGGGGGGGGGGGCCTTACGCGGTTATTTGCAGCGCGGGTGGCCATGATCAACGGACGGGGGGGGGGGGATATGCTGTCTTGTGGCTTGTTCCTGTTCTGCTCTGTCTGCGGTTGTATGGCGGTGTAGATGGAACTGGGTCGTTGGGAGCTTCCCTTAGAAAGCGAGGGTCTGCGGTGTGTAGTCCGTCGGTCCTCGGTCGTCTAGGGCCTAAGTGATCTATCCGTTTCCCGGTTCTCGGGGGTTCGGTGTGGGTGCAGCGAGTGCAGCGGGTGCAGCGGGTGCAGCGGGTGCAGCGAGTACAGTGGTCCCTCCTGCTTCTGTCTGGGCGAGGGGTGGGGAGAAGACGGGCGGTAGGAAGCGAGAGAGCGGGCGAGAGCGAGAGAGCGAGAGAGCGAGGGCCGGTGTGGCCGAGTGTGTACTTAGCAGGCGAGGTGTGCGGGCGGGAAGAGAGACAGAGGCTGTGTGCGTGTGCGTGTGCGTGGCCCAGGCAGAACCAGGAGAGGCTTTGGCCTACACGAGGAAGTGGCGTGTCTTGGCGATCCTTCCCTGGACTTGGACACCATCGAGACGCTGCTTCTCCACGCGCAGAGAGGGACTAGAAATACCCACCGCACGCAGTCTCGGACACACGACTGGCTGGCTGGCTGGCTGACCGGGTCGAGCGCCAGTCCGGTCCAAAGAAGGCTCTATTCCTTTATTTCATGTTCACGGGCTTTTTTGGCTACAAACAAACCACAGAAGACAGCAACAGCAGCAGGCAAGAAAGAGAGAGGTAAAAGAAAAATCTACAGCAGAAAATATAGCCCTATTTTGCACAAGAACACACACAGCACACAGCACACAGCACACAGCACACAGCACACAGCACACACACAGCTTACAGAAAGCTCATCCCGATACCAAACTGTATCCCCTTCCTCGCCCTGTCCTCGGGCCTCTTCACAATCGGCAGGCAAAAGTTGAGCTCGAACCGCGCCACGGGGTGCGCATACACCAGCCCGAAGCCCGCGGCGATGCTCGGCAGCTCGCTTGTCAGCCGCTTGGCTGCCTGCGCAACGCTCCTGTTGACATCGCCGCCGGCCTCTCGGTCAATGCCCTGCAGCCCCACAAGTCTCCCGCCATTGACAAAGGCCTGCAGCCTCAGCGGCCTCTCGCGGCCCAGCTTTGGCAGCGGGAACAGCACCGACGCTCCGCCGGCGATGTAGGCGTCGCCGCCAACAGAGCCATCCCTGTCCTTGGGGCCCAACCCGCACTCCCTAAACCCTCTCACGTCCGTGGGGCCCCCGAGCTGGAAGCGATCGTTGATCCTCGAAGGCCTCGCAGGCGTCTTCTCGTCGCCCACCGAGGACGGCAGCGGGTACAGCAGCCCGCTCCTCAACCCCGCCGTGAACGAGATGCCAGTCCTCGGCTCCGTCACGGCACCCTGCGACTCAACCTCCACCTTCCCAAACGCCACATCACCGCCGAGGGGGCCTACTCCCGCAAGCTCCGTGGCCGCCTTGAAAAGGTATCCCCTGCTGGGTAGTAGCGCATTGTCCCGGCGGTCCCTCAAGAACGAGTAGCTCAGCGCGCTCTTGACACTGTCGCCTGCGTCGCTGCGAACAGTCGAGCTGGCGTTACTCCCCAGCCCCGTGACCTGCCGCCACACACCGCCGTAGCCGACTTCGTGTTCGCCCCACTTGATGGCGGCGCGGCCGCCCTTGAGGGCCTCTTCGTAGTTGGCATAGTGGTGGTGGCTGCGAGTGCTAGCGTATCCGCCGAGCTCGGCGATGATGCCCGGGTTTGCGAGGACCGGCGTGGTGAAGCTGAGGTCGTAGGCGGAGCGCGTGCGTGTTCCGATTGAGGCCGACCCATTGAGCGATTCGGCGCCGCCAAAGACGTTGCGGTAGGTGAGGTGGACGTAGCCCGTGCCCTCGGCATTGCCGATGTCGGTGCCGGTCTTGAGTAGGAGGCGGGACTTCTCGACGACGGTGAGGACAACGCTGAGGTCTGTGTGGTCGGGGGTTGAGGTCGGCTTCTTGTCGAGGTAGATGCTGATTGTGGGGTGGAAGATGCCTTTTTTTCACCGCTGTGTTAGCACCGCGGCACAATGGGCTCTAGAACTCCAATTGGGAGGTAGTAAAGTAGGTGGGTAGACATACCGAACCGGTGCAGAGTGTTGGTCCGTCCGTGGAGCTCCTCGAGTGCCGTAGCAAGCGTGTAGCTCTTTCCACTCTCACTGCTTAGTGCCGGCCTGATGACGCTCGCTAGGAAGCCACTCCTGGTGTTCTTTGCGCCCTCGATCCTGATTTCCGAGATGGAGACGGGCAGCGTCGAGTTCTCGTCTATCTAGACATCACAGCACATCAACCCCCATGAACCCCTCATTGTACGAGGGGAAAGTAAAAAAAAAAAAAAAAAAAATCATACCAGCCCAGCCAGCGTCCTCTGCGCTCTTTCATACTGCGCCCTCACACGGTCCCTGACGGCGTCCTCGCGGTCCTTGTCGGTGCTTGATTTGAGACGTGCGAAAACCTAGATCTCTCTCTCTCGCTTTTAGCCACAAAACAGCCCCCCCAATTGGGTGGCAGGGTGGGTGCAAACGTACATCGTCGTCCTCGGGGGTGTTGGGGGACGCCATTGTAGGTGTTTCCAAAGTTGTGTTTTGGTGGGGTGCGTTTCTATGGGATTGCAGTTGCGGTAGTGGGTGCGGGATGGAAGATTGCGGGATGGCGTTACCCGGCGGGGTGGTGTAGGGTTAGGTTTGGGGATGGTTAGTGCAGGGGGTGTTGCTGGGCGATCTTGCAATCGTGCGGTATAGGAACTGTTGTTGGAAATATGCGTTTTTTTGTTCCAAAGTATTTCTGGAAACTTGAAGGGCGTTGGACGATGGTTGTGGTTGTAGGTATTTCGGTTGGTGATTGTATCGCAATCACGAGATATCACTCGGTAACCCCTGATACCAAAGAAACCTTTTGTGATGGCAATACAAAGCTCCGCTTCCTTCATAGCCCAATGGGCACTTTTGGAACATATACACAGGTTGGACGTAGCAAGCAGATAAGCTACTGCCCTGTTACCACTAGGTTTCTCTCAGATGTGTAGTAAAGATTGAGAGGTTTTGTTGAAAGGGCCGGCCGGCTGACGTCGTTTTCGAGGAAAGAGATAACAGTCCGAGAGGCAGGGAAGCAGGTAGGATATGGCCGGGGCCGTAGGCCTTCATTATTGTGATGTGGGGGCTCAGTTAATTGAGATCGTTGACCCTTGGCCTCTTGGGGCTGAAAAATGTCAGAAGAGTGGCAAGTGGTTTCACACCTGTCGGGGGCCCTGAGGGTGCTTTGTCGTACATAGCATGCGATACGGGCATCGTTTGCTCCTTTGTGGAGTGGGAGGAGTATGGTGTTCAGGACGTGATGTATCGGGCAGCTTCTGCGTGGGGCGGGTAATGTGTAGCGGTGTAGGTCTCATTGTCAGACATTTCCACAATCCCTCCTTTAGTATTACCATTATCTATCTTGAATACTTGACCAATCGATCTTCACACTGTGACTCTTTCATGCCAACCTTTTTTCAAGTAACTATACTTACGGTGTAATTCGTTATGACGTGACGGCTAGCGCTTCCAGGTTACCAGTTTAACCCTACCCGGGGGCGCAGCAATTCGTTGATTGAATAGTTGGAAACGGTTTCCAATCGAGTGGCCCCATGTTGACCATGTGGAGCAGAAGGGGACACACCAACAGGAAGAACGGTGTTATGTTCCTCCGGTACTGACCAGCTGTCTGAAGACAAAATGACGAGTAAATCAGTCAACATGGGTTATTGGGGGGGGGGGGGGGTTCAATACTTTATGTAGAACGAGATCAGTAAGTAGAGCATAGAGAGAAAGTATCCCCTCCCTTGTTTCTTCTTTATATGCAAAGATCGATTGTTCTGAACAATTGGTGGGTCGCTGCCTTCTTGGGCGTTGATCAGCTATAGAGCTAGGCTCCCAGGCGCGAGATAGTGTACCCCCATACCTCTACCTTGAATCCTACCAAGAGTTGATCAGTACTCGCTCCTTGTTTGGTTTGAAGTATACATACATCAGCCGAAGGTTTAAGTATACATGATGGCCACGGGAGGCAGACGCCTAAACTTGAAGATTACATGTACTTCCTCGTGTACAAGGCTGTATGTACCGAGACCCAATTCACGGAGGTCTCGCTGAAACGGTACCATATGGAGACCTGTACAACTGAATGCTACATGTACATGTAGTGCTAGTGTACCACGAAGCTTGATCCAGACTAGATTCGTAACCTTTCATATTTTAGTCTAGTCTCCTAGTCGAACTAGCTCAAGCTAGCTCTCCACATAAGACCATAAACTTCAAGTTACATGTACCTGTACTTGTAAGTACATCCTTGTATCTGGGTCAGCTGCATGTAGTGGTCACCCATCGGATGACTAGGAGAAAAGGGCGCCACTTTATCACATTCACTTCTTTCTCGAAGACCACCGTTCATTCAACGCCTATTAGTTCCCTACTCACTCCGGAAGCTCTTGAGGCAAGGACGGATAGTGACCTCGAGGCTCCTTGTCCCTTTGGACCACTGTCCTTGTGTGTCCTCGAGGCAAGGACACAAGGACGCTCGTCCTCGTGGCCACACTACTCGCAATTCGAGTAAATCCGCAGGTCATGAGCCAAGGGAGGTGTTTATACAGCCTTTCAGTCATCCTCCAGCACACTCCAAGAGTTAATTCAGGATTTCTCAAACTCTATGCGTGTTGAATATGACATGAAGTGAGTTCATGGGATGGTTTAAATCGGTTCGTCTCACTCGTAAAGACTCGGACCCGTCTATTAGCTCGAGCCCAGGGATAATTCTCGACTATCCCTTAAGCTGTCGCGAAAATGCTGACCCACCCAAAATTTGGTGTGGCTTTACTAATAGATCTCGTTATCTCTCTTATCAAATAATAGATCTCTCATACAAATCTAATTCCTCTGTTATAGGGGGGTCAGCATCGACAGCTTAGGGGATAATACGCAGTTAATATACCTATATACTGGATTGAGGCTAGCTACGTCCTCGATAGACTGTGCTATTTACTTGAGTAAATGCCTGTTTTTGCTCCCCCAGAAACACCTATTGTCCTCCTCGAGGACAGACAAAGACGAAGGTCAATAAGGACGAGGCACCTCGAGGATACTCTCAAGCCTCGCCTCGAGCGTTCTCGTGGACCACACTGATTGCGAAGAAGAAGCATAAAGTCTAGTTCCTAAAATCGGCCTAAGAATATGTTCCGGTTCCCATCTTCATCTTCCTCATAGACGATCACTCGCTAGGCTTGGAAGCCGAGACATACGATACAGAAAGAAATCATTCCCTATAACAGATAAAGCTTATACATCCGGTCTCAAATCCAATTTATAACACAAGTTGTTTAACATCCTTCATGCCCCTGGTTATTCCAATATGGATCTTTGTTGTTACCAATTAAACAATTTCCATGTTTACAGTAACACACGCACTACAAACGCGCATATCAATCGCGCCAACTCAGGCCAATTATCACACAATATATAAATATCGCCGGCTCAACCTACTCAAAACCGGCTCCGGCTGCAGTATAAATAACCGTGACCCCCTTCGTAAACGAATACCAGAACCAAGGGGGGCCATGCTTCCTGCTCGGATCCTTCCTTCCGTATGTGCAACCTGAAGTCGGCAGGATCAGCCCCAATATATTAAAGTTTTGACATGGCAGCGGAACAGCGAAGCACCCGGCTGAATGCCTTCTAAATTATGAGCCACGTTTGTATGAAGGAAAGGCCTTTAGGATATGTATTATCATGATATAATATGCCGGGTGTTTAGTAGGTATGCATGCTCAAGGCCTTCCTAACGATGATCCATGCATTTGGCCGCTAATTGATTGATTCGTTATTGGCTCCACATGACATTATGTACTGATATTCGTGGTCAATCGTGGTGAATAATTATATGAAGCTAGATACTTGGCTTGGTTTGTTTTGTGAGGCCAATTGATGACTAGCAGATCGATACATAGCTAGTCATTCGCAATTAATAGTTCTGAAGTTGAGAAAGAAGAGGAGTACGTTGGCATTGAGATTACCATGTCTTATGATGATAATTTTAGATTAACCAACAGTGAAATTGGGCTATAAAACGGCTTTGCACAGGGGCCTCACGATGAGAAAATAATTGGTTTTTGCATTTCCAAGTCAGACAAACTGCAATGGCGTTTGGAAAGCGGGAGTCGGATTAGGTTTACGGCTCAACCGCAACCGCAACCGCAACCGATACACCATTTTCGCCATAGAAATGACTCAGTATCGGAAAGACAGCAGAGTACAAAAATCAAGCTTTTTCCCTAGCATGGTTCAATCGTTTCCATTCATCTCAATCAGCTCTCATCCACCGACAGCATGAGGCTATTTCGCCCACAACGTTTCTACTCCCTCCAGGAATTCTTGATTATGGTTGTGATGCAGGGCTGTGTGTGCCCGTCACAAATGAATGTGGAGCCTAAGTACCCCCGGTTACTTTAAATCTTGAGGTATTAGGCACTCGTTAGAAAGTAACTTTGTAGCCTCGTATCATCGTGGCGTTACTCGAGCCTATTTTAAAGACTAGGTTTTGAACAACTCACTTCGTATTACTGAAACTTGTAGTTTCTTAGATCCGTACTATTAGATTTAATTATAACAACAAATTACTCAATTATGAACGAACTTCCTGGAACGTTGGTCGATTTTCGACTTGCATAGTTATCCCGCATGCAAAGGCGCCGAGTGATAATTTATGATCAGCTCATCACCAGTGTAACGCGACTGGTTAATTAAACACCGTCACAAGCCACCCAAACACAGTCTTTGCCATAATTTGAGGCTTAAAGCCAAACTGGGCATCAAAGATACACGCGGCATGCACCTCCTTCGGACAACTTTCCACCGTCAAACCCTGTACTCCTCCCTTCCCCATCCTCTCACCAATCTCCTTAATATCATCCCGTGATAGCTCCCACTCACCACATACGAGTAGGGTCTTCGCTCCTGGGAATCCTGTCCACCAACTTGGGTCTGCAGATAAAGGAACATTATACGAGTTGTAATCCGCGTGATCGCAGAACTCGCTGGGGGCCCATGCGGCAGCGTTTTCGGCGTAAAGGTAGTCCCTCTCGGCATTCTCTTTGAACGATTTGGCTGTGTTTTCAAAGGTTACCCATGGTGATAACAGGAGTATGCCACCAAAGACTTTGGAGTCGAGTGTTAGTGGCTGGATGTCCTTATGAGGGTGGAGAATATGAGAAATAACGCCGAGGGCTAGGTTTCCGCCAGATGAGTCGCCCCCAATGATTATCTGGATAAATTATTGGTTAATATGTTTCCATCACTGGTGAGTAAAATTTGGAGGTTGCCTACATTGGAAGGTTCATATTTTGCTTCGTTGAGAAGATACCTCACGGCTTCTACACCCTGAATATACTGAACTGGGTACCTGACTTCTGGAGCAAGTCCTAAACCCTACTATCAGCATATTATTCTGAATCTTCAAGAGGCCATGTATTTACTCGCCGTATTCTACGATACCAAGTACGGTCGTTTTCCCGCTCTCCTCTAGCCTCTTTACGCACTCCCTCAAGAACATTACATGTCCTGACTTTAGAGGTCCCACATACCCCCCACCTATCACCACCCATCACTATCAGACCTCACTCGGACCACTTTTAGAGTTCATAACACCCAAATTAACAACTCACCATGATACCATAGAATAACCTTTCCCTCGCTGCTCCTCTCACCAACTAAATGCAGCTTCGCTCCATGTACCAACTCTACTGTCTCTACCCGGATATCCTCTTTCTTACAATACTCATCCACCACATCACTCGTACTCGGCCACCTCCCCCGCCGTTGCGCTGGGCTCTCTGGGCCGTTCATTGCATTCCGCCGTGAGATGCTAGTATAAACTTCACGATGCCATGTTTCCGCACCGTCAGAGCCTCGGAACAGGGCTTTGAGGCCCGTTGAAACGTACACAGCAGCTGGAAGCATAGATGTTTTTAGCGTATGAGCTATTTCTGTTGGTGCGGGGTATGGGTATCTACATACGTAGACTCAACTTGCTTTTGTAGACTTCGAGCTTTTCGCGGTTGATGAGCGGCATTTCGGCTTCTGAATCGGTAGTAGACTGCTGGGACTGGGACTGGGACTGGGACTCGGAGACTTCATTTGGTGGGGTAGACATACTGACTCCTGTCTATTCTATTGGGAGGTTATCAAGTAGAGATCGATGGGTGCAACTGACTAGTGACCAGTTTTAGCTTTACGAGTGACAGGCAAAGTTAGCCTCTATCAGAGTAGAGATATTAGAGAGTCCTTCATGTATAGAATACTGGTGATGGTGGTAGGGGTCGGGTAATTCTACTTTACCCTCATTAGCATACATAGCCATGCGAACATCTGTGAGCCTTGTCGTCTTTACTATAATGTGAAGTGTATCATACACAACCATCAGCCCACTACACGGACTCCACCGAAGCACTAATTAGATGTTGCGTAGATTGTCGCATCGGCTAGTTATATTTTGATCTATATGCCAACTAGGATTGAATAGGAGTGCGGTAGGGACAGATATGAATGCCTTTCTAGGGCCGAAGCTGTAAAAATGGCTAGGTACCACCACCACGGGAGGCGCAGAGATTTGGTTTTCGCTATGCCACGGGGCTGTGCGAGCTACAACCCATTATCGATTACAAAGTCAACCACAGCTCGATAAAGCTCTCCCAGGGCTGGAAGTCAAAATAAGGTTGGTCAAAATAAACCTGAGATCGTGCCTAGCCTTACTTTTATCATCATCTGTCACTCGACTGATCTAATACAACAGGGGCCACATGTTCACATTCGCCTCAGTACATAAGATCACCAAGAATAATGGGAGGTTTGATAAAAGCAATGCACACGTTTGAAATTAGTCAAGACTATGGAGCATTACACCCTTTTTCGATCACCTTTTAAACCATCCGTATTCGTCATATGCGCTCTATTAAAAAGTGACGGGTATAGATTCAAATTCCAACAAAACGAAGAAAAAAAATTGCCACACTCTCCACTTTCATCTGCACCAAACTCAAATACTCGTAATCGTATTTTGAAGTAAAGTAAAGATTTAAGCCTCCTCAGCTGGGAGCTCCTCCTCGTAAGCCTCGTC